ATTTTTTTTATTTTTCATTACATTCGGTTCTCCTTAGAAAAATTTAGCGCTTCATATTTGAGTAGAAATTTTAACCATCTATAAGCCATTTTTTTCAACAGTGGGTCAAAAAGGCCTGTTCTGGTTCGAGTTGGTGGGTTAAACTTTTGGAAAAAAAGTAGACCAACCTTGTTTTCAATATGTAATCCGCAAAAAATCGTAAGAACTCCGTAATTTAACATAACGGTTGATAAGATTATTGCAAAAATTTATTGAGAGCGACATAAATTACCCCAATAACTAAACTTTTAAAGTTTTTTACTTCTTTAAATTTAAATAGTACATACAGATCTGTATAGAACATAGAGATCCGTGTGTGTATGTATGTATATTGAAGTGGTCCAAAAAAGTATGCAAAAAAATAAGGTCGGATTTTTAATGCCGCCACCCCTAGGATTGTTATATACCGAAAAAAATATACCCATATTTTTTATTTTTAAATAAAAAATAATTTAGGTAGTGCTCAAAGCGCTCAAAGTTTTCCATGTATTGTATATGGATAAAAAACAACTTTTCGTAGAAATAGTGTAGAATTCTTGAAAATCAATATTTTTCGAATTGGAGATTCCCAGTAATAATACTCAATTGTTTCTTTAACAATTTTTTCATGGTGACTATATTTTATAGGTCCTCAGACCTTCTTCTGTTCGCCCATCAATCAGCGCCAGACACTCAACATTTCAATTCAAGTAGGAAGTAACAATATTTTAATTTAAAACTAATTCAATAATGAAATAAATAGTATTATAATAATAGAATAATTGGCATGGCGAATGCCTAACGCTGGCGAGTTGAAATGATAAGATTAGTAGGCTCATGGCTCTTTGAAATCTACCTTATGAGCAGTAGCGCGAATATTTTTGAAGTTGACCACGCCGCCACCGCAAAGCCTGTCGGCGTAAACCTCTAGTAGCTATATCTATTACATTGTTTTTGGATTAATGATGGCTGTTTGGAGGAGATACTCTTGTTTTTGAATGCGTCACCATGTGATATCACAAATAATTATGAGAAAAATAACTTATTCATTCCGATATAAATAATTAGTATTTCAAAAAGGTTTTTCTTATCTAAAACTATTCAATTGTATAAAATGCCAAATCGGGGGAAAATGTACCAAACAGAAAATAAATTGCCAAATTAATCACCAGTGGCAACTGTGCAAGTGATCAGCTGTTTCGAAGGTTGCAAGTTTTTGCAAATTTCGCGTACTTCTGTTGATATTTCGTCCCTATGAGAGCGAATGCTGCTAAATTCTCAGAACTTTTGCTGCTGGAGAATTTTGTCCTCTCAATACGAGTACACACCTATTGTTGTTGCCGAACTCAAGTGGTTAATGGAAAAATTGCAAACGTCCAACACCAGAATGTTGAAGTTCACACGTGCAATGAACAGTAATAACAAAATGTACATATTTAAGTCTGTATGCAAATTAAGAATGTTTGAGCGAGTCGATTACATATGTATGTATCGATAAACATACAAACATATGCATGAATGTGGTGTCGGGTTTTGTTGGCTTAATTAAATTATATATGTATAACATAAGTAACAATTTTTCAAAGGGGCGAATTACATTAAATTAGACAGTTAAGTTTCGATTTTCAATACATAAATTTAAAGTTAACTACCGAATGTGAGTAAAATCTTCCCATAGCCCCTTTTTAAAGATTGATGGGGAGCTGTTATTTTTATACCATTTTACCATTATAAAATACACTGCTTAGCAGAGCTGTAAAATGATTGAATCAGTAGGATGCATTTCTTTTCAAAGTTTTGATTGTTTGGTTGTATAAAAAACCTCATTCCTGAGTGGCTTAAATTATTTTGAAACAAAAACAAACGTAATGTGTTATTGAATGGTAGAGTTCCATGAGCGCCTGGTATTGGGAAATGAAAATATCGTTTTGTACAAATAAAAAACATGTAGCCGCGTGAAAATGGGCACATAAGTATATATTTTAAGAAGTAAGAAAATACAAGTTCGGGCGGAGCCGAACATTAAATACCCGGCGCAAGTTTTAAATATATGTTTTCCACCTTTCCGAAAAATACCACTACATTGTAAACCGGGGTGCGTTTACCCCTATTTTAAACATCTTCGATAGAACGTTCAGTTAGAAATAATGAGATAAACTTATATAGTCATATGTGGGCGATATCATGCCCATTTTCCAAAATTCCAAACAATGTTACTTCTTTTCAAATGATTCTTTTTAGTATCAATTTTGAGTAAATTAGCGTCCTTAAATTCCGAAATATTGAGGTTTCAAGCATTTCTGAAATTTACCATTATATGAAAATTTTAGTCCGATTCCAATAATTTTCAACGTTTTGCTTTTATGTGGAAGCTGCAAAAACTATACCGAGTTTGGTACGACGGTTACCGATATACATATATCTGATCATAAGTGGGCGGTGCCACGCCTATTTTCCAAGATTTTACTATAAATGTATTTCTTGCTAAAGAATTGTTGCAAGCATCAATTTCGAATAAATTAGCTTTAATATTTACTGATTTATGGAGTATCTCGTATTTCTCTAAATTACCGTTAT